AAAACCACTGCCACTGGAAAGGGATGATACATCACTTGGGGGAGGGGTTGCCCCTAAAAATTTCAAAATGATAAGGAATATGAGACATGCGGGGATGGGCAATTTTCTGATGGACATCTTGGATGGATATGCCCCGGGGAAAAATGAGAGAATGTGGAACAGTTTTGAATAGCTAGTAAAGGCGAGTATTTCTCGTTTCTAATTTTTGAGGAAAATCTAAGTGAGAACAAGAAAGGATCTAATCAAACAAATAGAAAGCTGTATGCAACCATAAACTAAATGCTGATGGGGTGTGGGGTTATATGGAAAATGACAATGATGCTTGGCCAGGAATAGTTACTGGAACCAACGGTTGTGCTGCTCAACGAACCTACAGTAAAAGTAAGACAGCATGAGCCAACAATGCAGTTGACGGCTTCCATGGGGACTATTTATCAAAATAAGCCTTGCGGGGTTTGAAAAATGAGTCAAGCAATTGAATTCAGGGGCAATCGAATCTGTCAACCGAAAAGATGAAACTTGCTCGAGAGAGACCAAAATGTGAGGAACAGCAAGCGACAGGAGTAGGTACCGTCGGCATAAAGCATTGACAAGATTATTTGTTGTGCCAGCTTGCTAGGCGAACACCAAGTAAACTACGTCGCGGAGGAAGGGCGATGTTTTCCCCGAAGAGCAATCCGACGCCTGGTTCCTGGTAGTCAGGATCCCGGGCCGAGAGTTATCCAAAGAAATAAGCTGCAGCGTGATCGGTAGTTGAGGTCAAAAGTCCAGGGCCGAGGCTGACAACCCAAGACGTTGAAGCCCTTGGATAGTGTAGCAAGTAACGTTTGTATATTCTAGCAGCGTTGCACTCATTGTCATGGTTTTAGAGGAAGAACTGTGGACTCACACATCCTTGCCCAGAGTGCATGTTGTCAAAGAAGGGGAGGGTCCTTTTTGGGAGAGGCTCGCAGAAAAAGAGTGGAGAAACCAATGGTTTTTATTCCTTCAAGCTATACTAATTTAAATAGGCTAGATACAAGGTGAAAATGTGGTCAAGTAGAAATTGAATGTAAACGATGGTTTTGAATAAAAAACTGAGAGGAGGAAATAAACGGGTTCTAGGAAGAAACAACTAGACAAGCTTTCTCAGTCTCTTTTATTCAAGCCAGAAAGTTAATCAAGATAAAACATGTATTCAACCACAGATATTAAGAGGCTTAAATTCTAAATAATCAGTTTTTAAGAATCAACTAAAGTAGAAAAGATAAGAAGAGATTAGAGAGACATGAGTAATTGACAAGAGCTTATTAATTAGAGTTCATTGACTACAAAAGCAGGCTTCAGGAAACAAAAAACAGGCTACTTAATGGCTATCATCTAGTCTGATCAGCAGAGATTCAAGAAGGAAAGAAAGGAGAGAAGAGGAGAGAACAGAAGGAATTTTAGGGAGGAGTAGGCAAGAGACAGGAAAAACTCAACATATTCAAAATTGAAAACCTAAAGTTTTATCTAACACCAAAATCTGTGATTTTATCTGGGAACAGTCACTTTGATTTTTATGTAAGCATGCTGACAGGTCTTATGCCTGAAAACTCTATAAGGAATGTTTTTTTTTTCTTTGAGTGCCATGGTGCTGTTAGCATTGCACACTATGAATCTGCAGTATTGAGAGTGTAAGAACTGTATTAGATAACACATAGATTTTTGTGAATGATAGATTTGTGTAAGAGATTTCAAGGTAAATCAGAGAAAAGGGGATGTTGAGCACCATGATGGCCTGATGTTGAAGACCACTATATATAAATGTGCAAATTGCCATCCCCTCTTCTTGGTCTGATGCAACTAGATTGTTCTGAGAGCTAGAGGAAGGCAAGGTTACTTACAATCACTGCATAATCCTCAGTCCAAAGGGATAGGAAGAGTATGTAGTTTTCCCACTTGTCCCAATTTAATTTTGTTGCTCTGAGAGAATTAGTGGAGTGATATTTTTGGATTGATCTACTTTGATTGTTCCAAGAGGATGACAGGAGCTGTCCCTTCTCTTGGACTGATCTAGATGTGCTCTACTTGAGCTGATATTATCCCAAAATTAGGTTTGAGGAGTGATTGCCTGCTCCCTCCTCTTGGAGCACTGTGATGGCTGAGAGGTCTCAAAGTGGCACCAGTCCAAGTTGTATGGTGCCAAGAGGATGGGATGAGGGTTTGTTTGTTCCAATTTCACAAACACAAACAACTCTCCTTGACTCTTGCAATCAGTCATTTCTCCAAATGATGATTTTGCAAAGAGTTTTGGTACGGATATCATAAGGTTTTTGAAACATGCTGAGTTTTTTTTTTTCCTTTCTGGATGATTTTTATGCAGATTCCTGAAGTTTGCTCATTGCATGATCTCAGCGAGACGTGCATGTTTCTTGAATCTCCTCATCTTGATTGTTGCAGATCCTCGAACTGTTTTCGGATGGAGAAAACAAGGAAACCGGGGGAGAATTGGAGCCGTGAGGTCTGGGTCCGGAAGGGATCAAACAGTCTCGACCGGTCGTGACGCGACGGCCGGGCCATCGATCTCGGGGCGAATGCCGACTCCGTTGACACAATATCAAGCAAGCAGTTTGCAATCTTCAAGCTGGGCATCATCAAGAAGTGGCCGGACTTGCAAAGATAATCAAGACGGGAAAGCAAAAACAGGTCCGGCCAGGGTGATACATACATACATACTCAACTCACAAGAAAGCGTTTACATACAGCGCTCGGAAGATTGGATTCTTGGTCGCTTTCTCAATCAAGCCACTTGTTCCCACTCAACTCCACCGGCCACCACCCACCCACCCAGTATCCCAATAAAAACCGAACCAGTCCATTAACTCTCTCCTCCTCAACCCCCTCCTTCGTTTCCAGAAAAATAATAAAATCCTTATAAACTGTGTCAATACTGATCCGACCAACAATCCAGTCACCCCAGCTAAATTATTATCTTTCGATACATTACTCCGACTGAACAACATCAAATAGCATGTTCTCCTCAACGACGCTCTTGGTCTTATTGGCCTCTTACCCTGCATTGATCTTCGGCCAAGGACATGCATCCTCCGACCAGATATCCACCTCGGCCACCCAATACGACAACCTCGTCAGTCCGCTCTTCTGGTCTTCCTCATCAGCTTCAGTGCCTCCAAATCTGACCCCCTCTTCATATGTTTTTTTTTCTTCGTCGTAGTTCCTCTCGGCTCCTTACCCTGACGGCTTCGGGATCCCATTGAAGGTGCCCATACATAATACCACTCCTCTCCTGCCCTCTCATCAACCTTCGACTTACCCCTTCCACTTTATCCTCACAGGCACAAGCAGTCCTCAACGTCACTTACCCCTCCGGACCTATCACTAACGGAAAATCCTACTCCGCCGAAGGTATTTCCAACATTCATCTCACATTTTACTCCCTGACAGGTTTTACTCATCCAATTTCGGTTTTTTTTTTTTTTGCTGATTGAAAAAAAAAAAAACAGATGTTAAAACTCTTCCTACTATCACCCTCATTCCTGGTGACACTGCGGCCTTCAAAGCTCCCAACGCTTTTACACTCATCTTGGCAGATGCTAATGCCCTAGGAAACCCCGACAAAGAGTCCGTATTTTTATACATACATTCTTTTTCCTTTTGGGGGAACTGCAAGAAAATGGTGATGACGAGCTAATTGACACCGACTTGCATTCTTAATAATCAGAGGTAATTACCGACACTTCTTAGAGAATGGGGCGACTTTTGGGGATGCCGGAGCGGATGGGGGGATGGCGATGAACGTGGGCTCGGGGACGGTGGTGACGAGCTATGCCGGCCCGGGTCCGCTCCTCAACACCGGCGAACATCGGTACGCCTGGATGCTGTTCGTCCAGCCCTCCAAGTTCGCCGCGCCTTCCAACTTGTCCGCTGCCGGCACCGGCCCAGGACATTGGTATGTGAACGCTTATGTGGCTAGCAGTGGACTTGGAGACTTGGTTGCGGCCAGCTTCTTCACCGTCGAGTACGTCCCTTCCTCATTCACCTCTAACATCTTCTCCATCTACTCACCCTTCTTTTCTTTCTTTCTTTTCTTTGAACAGAAACGGCCATGCTACCTTCCCTCACAACGCCACCGTCGTCCACAGCACCCCGACCGCCGGAACCGCCAACTCCTCCGCCCAATCCGGCTCCGCTTCTGCCGCCGGAAGCTCCAACAACGCCGGCAAGTCAGCTGCCAAGAGCGATGCTGATGGGCCGGTCTGGAAAGACTGTGCTGCGACCGTCAAAAGCCTCGTCATGGGTCTCGGCGTCGCCGTCTCTGGCTACATCCTCATCCAGTAGTCTTCTCTTCCTGCTTGCTCCTAACTTCCTCCCACACACCGCTCCTTTTTCCTTCATCTTTACGCTTCATCTCTTCGATTGACGTCTTTTTCATGCCTCTCTGTTTCCTTGCCTTGAAAAACATAATGATCTTCACCCATAACGTCGTGCTTTTTTTGTCTTTGGTTTGCTCCCCTTTTGAATAAGTCAAAGAGTAAAATAAATAATCAATTCATCAAATCGACAATCAATCAATGATTTTTGCTTTGTTTTTTTCTTTCCGTACGAAACGGATGCCGATTTATAAGCATCATGACTTTGATGATGATGGGAAAGGATGCTTGTGCCCAACCAAGTTGACTGGCTCAAATCACTTGTCAATTTTGCGCGGTTGCATACAGAGAAAGAGCCAATGATGTAAGCGGCCAATCAAGAAATGAATGAAGCCGTTTTCTCTTTTCGCCAAAGGAGGCTCACATTGAGACAGAAAAAAAAGCAAAAAGCAATTCTAGCGTGCACCAATCATATTTCTTGTATCAACTAATCCCACAACCCGAGCACAACAATAATAGCTTGCTCAATGAGAGTCCCAGGGGGACAGTCCTGACCGGAGGTCGGGCTCCTCAGCTTGTCCGCAAGCGATGGGATTTATACCCATCCAAACGTTGTAGAAACAACTTAGTTTTCAACGGGGTCTGGCATGAACATTCAATTTTTCAAAATTCATCTTGCTCAAAAGTTCATATCACCAAAAGTGACCATGACCAGAAGTCAATGTATGGTCTGAAAGTGAAGAATTTCAGCAATAGATCTCTCCATTTGTTAACAAGTTTTGTGCAGAAGACAGAAAAAAATCGCATTTTTTTGTTCAAAATTGAACCCTACGGTACAGGCTTGAAAGACGAGTTTATTTACATAGGATAAGGAAAACGGATCCAAGAGGCCTGACTAATAGATATAATAAGTAAACATGTTTACATGGGTAAATATATATATATACCTTAATATATCTTTCGAAGCATAAAAAGGAAACTTGGAGCGCTGGGTGAGTGAAAAGACACGAGATTCTAAGCACCGCCTTTGAGACCGGAGCCGACGGCGCCGGTGATCCCGGAAGAGAGCCCAAGTCCGCCTCCGCCAAGCCTGGGGAAAGGAACACAAAAAAAAGGAAAAAATAAGTGGATTGATACACTGGATTTTAGCGTGCAAGATGGTGATGCTGCTTCAATTTTTTTTACGAGAGGTCTTCGTTTGTGAAAGCGTGATCGATTTATAATGCGTACCCTTTTGATACGGTTTGTAAAATCGATGCTGCTTTGGCTTTTTTGTCACCGCCGTCACCGCCACTATAATATTTTCAAACATTTCAACATAAAATTGGGAATCATGGTAAGTTGAATGCAGGGAAGATCAGGATAAGAATTGGATGTGTGTCTAAAGATATTTGACGGAGTGGTTCATGACATACCCTTTTGAGGCACCTTCTCCGCCACTGTATGTAGGAGATCAAAAGAATTGAAAGCGAAATGGGTCAAGTGTGAGTTAGCTGGGTATTTTTTTCCTTCTAAAGAAGGAGTCTGAGCCGGCGAGGCAAAAGGAAGCTTACGCTGGTGCAGCCGCACAGGAGCTAATGGAGAGGATGGACAAAAGAACTATGCAGGTAATCGAGAAGTTCATGTTGGGTGGTGAATGTGATTTGTGGGTGTTCGTGGACGATTGAGGTTTTATGAGGAAGGACTATGTATACTATATGGTATGTTGGAGGGTTTCTGGGATGGTGGATGAGTGCTCCACAGTGTGAGGAGTGCGGCCCTTTTAACTATTTTTTCCTCCGCCTAAGGACGTTAGAAATTCGTCCAAGTGTATTGATATCACTGTCACCGGGGCTTCCAGGCCGATGATGATGTTTTCTTCATCGAGTCTTTAAGGCCGGCCGGTCTGCCTCTGCCATGAAGCCATTACCCTGACCGGGTCTTCGCTACCATCAACAGAGAATTAGGGATGGAGTGGTGTAACATATGACTCGCCAGACATCGTCTATTAGTAACCAAGCCGACATGACTTGCTCCTGCTTTAACGAATCCGAGCCAAGCTGCTAGGACTTGTTGACGGCTCGTCAGGCTTGATGTATGCTCCGCTCCCTGAACGCGAAAAAAAGACCTTTGATGACTCCCTTGAACGGCTGATGATCTGTGTGTAATCCATTAAGTCTGGCTCATACTGATGTTCTTACTACGAATGTAGGCCAATTAAACACGGCATGTCTACCAAAAAGAAAACCCGCATGTATCATTATTATGACCCCTAGTTCAGTGGAGGTTATCCAACGGACAGAACTTGGAGAATCATGATGAGTATGCTTTGACTATTTGCCAAGCTCTTCTCAACCCACTGCACCGCCAGCGGTTACGCCTTAATTGTGTCATTATGGATGAGAATTAGCATTAGGCCCTTCGAATCGACACGCAGGTCTATCAATATTGGACAGTAACTACAACAACCGCTAAGTACCATTTGATGAGACGATGTTTATCACGAGGAACAAATTCCCCACTGATTATTTTAACTATGATGATCACAGATGCAGACTTAGATTGAAAGAAAGCAATTATGACTTGTACCAGTCTTACATCAATCTACCAACCAATCCCACAATTCGTCGGCAACAATGTCTTGCTCAATAGGCTCAGGGAGACTGCCCCAGGGAGACCTCTGCTTACCCGCAAGAGATGGTATTTATGTTGGTTCAAAAGTTGTTGGAACAAATTGCTATCTTAAACTCAAAGAAAATGTTATGAGTAAATTTATATGGGGGTGCTTACTTAAAAAGTAGGAGCAATTGGATTGAAAGACGAGGATATTTACAAAGGATAAGGAGACCGGATTTATGAAGCCTGACTAATACTAATAGATATAATAAGTAAACATGTTGACATTGGCACATATATAGCTAATATCTTTAGAAGCATGAAAAGGAAACTTGGAGCGCTGATCAGTAAGTGAAAAGACAAGAAAGTCTAAGCACCGCCTTTGAGACCGGAGCCGACGGCGCCGGTGACTCCGGAAGAGAGCCCAAGTCCGCCTGCCGCAAGCCTGGGGAAAGCAATACACAAAAATGGAAAAAATAAGTTGATTGATACGCAGGATTTTAGCGTGCAGGATGGTCATGCAGTGTCGCTTTTTTTTGAGAGAGAAGTCTTATTTTGTGAAAGCGTCATTGATTTATAATGCGTACCCTTTTGATACGGCTTGGAGAATCGATGCTGCTTTGGCTTTCTTGTCGCCGCCATCAGCGCCCCTATAGTAATGTATCATCAAACATTGTAACATAGCATCGGTATAATGAGTTGAATGTAAGGAAAATCACGATAACAATTTTTGATGTGTCTCGGGATATTTGGAGAGAAGTGGCTCATGACATACCCTTTTGGTGCACCTTCTCCGCCAGCAGCTCCACTGAAGAGATCAAAATAAATCAAAGCGAAATGGATAAAGTGTGAGTTAGCTGGGTGTGTTGTCTTTCTTAAGGAGATTGAGCTACTGAGCTGTCGAGGTAGGATGATGCTTACGCTGGCACAGCCGCACAGGAGATGATGGAGAGGATGGACAAAAGAACTATGCAGGTCATCGAGAAGTTCATGTTAGGTGGTGAATGTGTTTTGTGAGTGTTCGTGGACGATTGAGGTTTTATGAGGAAGGGCTATGTATACTATATGGTATGTTGGAGGACTTCTGAGATGGTGGATGAGTACTTCACGGTGTGAGGAGTTCGGCCATTTTAACTCATTTTTCCTCCGCCTAAGCACTGAGACTAGCGCTGGATCCCGTTCCCGAGGTCTCAGGGTATACCGATGGTATTCTGCCATTCAAGCGTCGTCACTGGGGCTTTAATCAGGCCGATGATGATGTTTTCTTCATCGACTCCTCAAGGCCGGCCGGTCTGCCGCTGGCATGAGATCATTTCCCTGACCGGGTCTTCGCTACCCTCAACAAAAATCTAAGGAAATTAGGGATCAAGTAGTGTAACTTCTGACCCGCCAGACATCGTCCTAGTAACCAAGTCGTATGAATCTACCAATCTTTTTAATTGGTTTTTCCAATAATCCCCCAGCATGACTTGCTCCTGCTTTAACTCATCCGAGCCAATCCTTACAACCTCCCTGATAGAGCCAACATGTATATTCATTATCATCACTTATAATACTTTTTTGTCATTCCTTTTCGTTCGATGTCGAACAAAGCGACAAATGACCTTTGATGACTCCCTTGCATTCAACTCGGCCTCAATTATACATACTGAAATTCTTATCGCGTAATTAACGGCACGTCTCGCGTTTTGCAATGTTCGGCAAAAACAACACGCGACATGATTATAGCCCCCAATTCAATTGAGGTTATCCAATAGGCAAAACTTGAAGAATCATGATGAGTATGCTTCGCCTGACTACCAAGCTCTACTCAATCCACTGCACGGACAGCGGTTACGCATTGTGTCATTATGGATGAGAATTAGCATCAGGCCTTTCAAATAAAGACGCAGTTCCAGTAAGTGCCACTTATTTCAACTTATTTGTGGATGTTGATTATGAACAGGAACCGTGTCCGCGTGATTAACCGCAAACAAGCATTAAGTCTTTACAGAATGATCACCGAGAGGAATTCTCGAGGTGAGCTATTACTTATTAACATAGTGATAAGGTTAAAGACCTTATGACCAGACAAATCCCAGACGCTGAGAAAACGGTATCTTGCCCAAGCTCAGATACAAGTATAAAACTTAATCCCAAGGAGAAAATCTCATCTCTAAGCTAAGACCAGTAGCTCAAATAAGAACGTGTAAAGCATTATCCCCCGTGAACAAAATTGGAGTGATTCCGAAAGGTAATCAATCACTAGCAAAAAAAAAGTTTTGCCTCAAGGGCAGGTTATTCCTGCTGATCTTGGACCACGGCACTGGAGTACAAAAATTTGAAGTGGATAGATAACTGAAGCAATGGGCTTGAATGAATTTCCTGCAAGGGTTTATATCTACACGTTAGAAAAGATGATAGTATTGGTACATTGTTGAAAAAGAAAAACATTCCAGGTCTGTGTAAGTGTTGATTGATTTTTCAAGGCGTTGTTTTTACATTTTGTAAGTAGGACAGAATTATCTGAATTTTCAACGGGACAAAAGAAAGCTTCGAGCGATTGGTGATCGTGAAAGAAAACGAGATCCTATGCACCCGCTTTGAGGCCGGCGCCGACGGCGCCAGTGATGGAGGAAGGGAGAAACAGCCCGCCTGCGGCAAGCCTGAAAAGGGGCCAAGAAGGAAAGATGCATATTTGTTTGGAGTTAATGGATATCCATGATTTTGGATGCAGCTGCCAATTTTGCTTGATGAGATATCGCTACGCACCCTTTGGAAACAGTCTCCATAACCATTGAGGCTGTCTTCACCTTTTCGCTACAAGGATAGGATTTAAGTTTGATGCCAATGTGACAAGATGGAAAAAAGGAAGGCCGGTGAAGAGTGTAAGAGGATAGCTATCTATAGCTATGGTAATCTGATTCGAATTGAGTACTAGATGAGCCATTGACATACCTTTTGGTTGATGCGTCCGATCCCGCTTTGCTGTCGGCCTGGCTAAGAACGCCATGATGAGATTGTAGAAGATCAAGTGCGGGGACAGGCAAGACAGGCCAAAGAAAGAAAGGGAAATAAGGGTGGTGAGTCGAGACTCGAGAGATCACAATTTACAAGAGATCTGGGAGAGTGCTTGACATACCCAGTAGCTGGGGCTTCTGAACCTAGCGAGCCGAACAGCCCAAGACCGCCAAAACCTCCGCTATAAAAATATTAAAATAAAACAAGATAAAACAGTTGAAGTTGGAATTAGTATGGTATTCCGTTCACCAGAATCTTGTCAATGGAGGCTTCGGCGTGCTGGAGACTTGGCCTCCGAACTCGCGAAGCCGTATACGCCCAATGCTTACGCTGGTAGAGCCGCACACGAGCTCATGTAGAGGATGGAAAAAAGAACCGTGCAGTTCATCGAGGAGTTCATGATAATTGAGAAAATTTTGGATTGCGCGCGTGCGAGATGATTGCTTGAGGAAGAACAATATACTAGAGGATGGATCAGAATTTTCTGGGATTGTCGATGGTGAATTGTGGATTGTGGAGTGTGGGGGAGAGCGTCTAGCTCAGCCCTTTTGCTTATTATCGTCAAGATTTTTTTTCTTTCCCCTCAGTCATTGAGGTTACGGTTATGTTGTCAAGCACGCAGTGTGTATTCCACTGACCACATGCCGATGATGATAAGCCCTTCGCAGAGCCTGTAAGCCGGCCGTGACATTATGTCATTTCCCTGAGTGGGTCTGCGCTGTGCCCAAAATAGATCTATGGAAAGGGGACAAGCGGTGTAAACATGAGGCTCCCCAGACATAGTCTTAGTAACGGAGTCGCATGAATCCAACTATTTGTGCCCCGGCAGCCCTTGCTCATGCTTTAACTCATCTGAATAAATGCGCTAAGACTTGTTAACGGCTTTTCAAATCCCGCGACTTCTGCGGACTTGCAATCACCAAGCAACCAATTTACTACTGTTAATGTTATAATATTTGTTTCTCATGCTTTCTTTGTCTGGCTTTACAAGAAAAAGGTTAAACGTGGAAACAGAGCTTTGACGAGTCCCTTGCAAGGCTGTCATTCTGTTTTTGTGCAGTCGTGTCTTCGCGAAAAAAACAAACAATTGGTGTTGTCCTGTGGGGAGAGCTGGGAAACTCATGAAACGCTTGGCTGGAATTCCCAAGCTCTTCTTAACCCGTTACGCGGTCAGCACCGTCACCCCTTGTGACTCTATGAGTGAGAATTAGCGCGAAAGGCAGGAGGTAGAACGACTGGAAAATGCCACTTTGTAAGTCATCACATGGGCAGATTTCCAACTGAAAATTTGAAATTGATTCTAGATATTGCCAAACAGGAATGTAGGACCCAATCAACCGCAAACAACAAAAAACAATCGTGGAGAGGAATCCTCAAGGTTGAAGAATTTTTGATGATATTTCTAAGAAACCAAAACCAGACTGATAAAGAAGCAAACAAGACCAGACAAGAAAAGAATCAGAACAAGACAAAAAAAGAATGAAATCAGAAAAAGAAAGCATACCAATAATGATGGACAAAAAAGGAAATGAAGTGAGGACTTGATTTAGAAGTAAGGAAGCACAATATGAGAATAGAGCAAACTGAAAAGAAAACAGTGATGAGGGGATTAGTGATTTCCTCATCAAACAACAATAGAGACAAGAGAAGGATTAAGAAAGGGAAAAAAGAAGAAGAGGGAGAACAAACAGCACGGTGATTGGTGTGATGCAAAAAGGAAGAAGGGAAGCCTGGACTAGATTCTGTGAGGTCACTGAATCAGATCTTGAAGGTGTAAGAGTTTGGAGTGAAGGAAAGAATTAGAGCTGGCGCAACAGTCAGGTCAGAGAATCAGACATTACTTAGTCGAGTCTTGAAGATAGATCTATAGTCTTGAGGCGAGTCTTGAGTACGATCTTAAATTTGAGTCGAGAGTCTTGTCGATTCTGGGGATCAAGTACAGGGGGAATGGAGTTCTTTTAACTGAAGAGAAGAGCTCAACCCTAACCGTTTGACTCAATTGCTGCGGATGAAAAAGAGAGAGAGCGGTGGGGTTTCACGAAGACTTAAGGTAGGTGACAGGTTCTGAGCAATTCAGTGACGGAGAAGTTTCAAAACTCAACAGCCCTCCTTGTTTGATGAGGAAAGAACTGAGAGACATTTGTCTTGCAGTTTTTTAATTGAAGAGTGAGGAGCGGCTTTGGTGAGAGCATCCGCAACCATCGCTTCAGAAGAGATTAGCTCAACGTCGATATCCTTCTTTTTGAATTTTTCTTGGAGACTTTTGATTTTTATATCAAGGTGTTTAGTTTTTGAGTTTGAGCCGAAATTCTTCAGTTTCTCCAACAGTCCTTTATTGTCAATGGAGAACAGAGTGGGAGCAAGATTCTTCCTCCAGAGTTCCTCTATCAGAAATTTCAGCCACTGATTTTCTTGCTCACCATTGGACAAGGCATTCATCTCAGATTCAGTGGAAGACATAGTTATGTTCTTCTGCTTCTTGCTGTTCCAGAGAATAGGTCATGATTTCCAGAAGGCCAGGGAACCACTCTGAGAAATGCGGGTTTCTTGATCTTCAGCCCAAGTAGCGTCAGTGAAAAAGTTGATGCGGTCCAAGAATTTGTTCTTCCGAGGTTTCAAGAGTAATCCAAGGTTCTTAGTGCCCTTCAGATACTTCCAGCAATGCACCACCTCTTTCCAGTGACTGAGCCCCGGCCTCTGATTGAACCTTGAAAGAATAGATACAGCGGCGGCAAGATCAGGTCTTGTGCGGCAGGCCAGGTAGTTGAGCATCCCCGTAAATGACCGATAGTTAATGTTGAGTTTGAGAAAGGCTTGATGATCCGCATCGGAGGCAGAGTGTAGCTGTACTGCAGGAGTGAGTGGCGTCTTCACAGGCCTGCAATTGCCCAGATCCAGAAAATCCAGTCCCTTTTCAATCAATGCGGGTTGAGACAGTTCAATCGAGTCAGGTGAAATGTCAAGATTCATTCCCAGCAGAGTATCTGGCGAATGAGCAGAAGAATTTGGAAAACATTTCAGTAACAAATTTTCAAATTTGTCGGTCTGTCCTACTACAATGAGGTCGTCAACATGAAAATAAACAAATGAGTCCTTGTTCTTATGAATGAACAGGCATGCATCCGAGACAGAGGGATTATAATCAATCTCCTGGAACCACATTGTCAAGGTGTCATACCAGTTTTTCGGGGCTTGCTTGAGACCGTACAGTGACTTGACCAGCTTGAGGTAAGGAGTGGTTCGTTTCGACCCTTCAGGAGTTCTGATGTATATCTCTTCTTCGAGCGGAGCGAAAAGAAAAGCACTTTTTACATCAAATTGCTTTATAGGTAGTTGCAGATCAATAGCCAGGACGAGAAGAGTCAGTAAGGATGGAAATTTCCCGGTGGGAGCGAAGGTTTCCCAAAAATCCTCGCCGTACGTCTGCATGAATCCTTGAATGCAAAGGCGGGCCTTTTGTTTCTTGGGAGAAGATAGAGTTGACGGTTTGGTCTTGAAGATCCATGTGGAGTTGAGGAGTTTGTTGGGTTTTTCCTTCTGATCGAGCCATACTTGATGATCCTCAATATTGCCAAGCTCATCATCAATAGCCTTGGTCCACCCTTCCGCATTTGAGCCGGTAACAGCCTGTTTGAAGGAGGTGGGATCATGAGTAAAGGCGGAGTACTTCATGGGTTTGACTTGAAGTGTACGATCTCTGAGAATACGACCAGCAGGTTCTTCGGGCGAGGGAGTAAGAGCATTGGCTATTGCGTCGTCATCGGATTCCGAGGAGTCATCAGAAAACGATTGTTCCTGCTCATCATCCAGCAGATCAATTTCTTCCTCCTCCTCCTTTGGTATGATCTCCTCCTCAGACTCCTCGACTGCAGATTTGTCAGCCTGCTACTAATCAGAGCCAGCCTGAACATAGCATTTACTTATTTAGAGATGTTATTACTTACATATGTATATACTATTAAAATATTAAAATACACTATTTAAATAAGTTGAAACACTATAATAGAGACATTATTACACAGTACACTTACATTGTAAATATTTCATGAGAAAAACCTTTAAATAATTAAATAAACTATGAAAAATAACACTTTTAACCAGAATCTTCTAATAACTTCTAAACCTTAAGTGTAACTTAGAATATTATTGCAGATTCTGAATCTACATGCAAAACAACCTAGGGTAGCTCTCCAAGTGTACCCCTGAATTATTACTCCTTCACTTACTTTGGAGTCCTTGAGTGATATTGGACCAAAATACACTGTGGACCCCTCCAGTTACATCATACTACATGTTGTAAGGGGGCTACATGTGTAATTAAGGTTCATACAGTTCGGGAAAAATCTACAAACAAGGTTTACATCATTGAAACCTTAACTACATGAGCACATACTACAGTATTGAATTGTTTGGGATGATCTGTGGCCCTTTTTGGCCCAATTGGGACAATTACTCTCTTGAGGATCAACCAATGCATCATGCAGTGCTGACCTAGGCTACAGGAGTGTTACAGTTTCGTCAGAAAACCCTGTAAACATGGTTACAAGCATTACATCATCTCCTTGACACCTGTAACCAAGCTCTACAGGTGCTACAGATGATCAAAAGCTCCCATAGGCTTAGTAGGAGAGTTGTAGCAACTAGAGAGACTCCTGAGTTCGCCTCCAGAGGCCCAGAATGGGTACTTAAGAGCCCCTTCTTCCCCCTGAACTTTTTTTCCCCATCTTCATCATCACTTACCAGCATAAACCGTCACCAACAACCAGTTTCCAACTGCCCATTGGCCCTGTTCCTGCTGTTATCAACCTGAATTTCCATAAACCAACCAACACCTGTTCCCCAGCACTCGTCCAACATCTCTCACCCACCTTTCTGAGCGCTTCAAGAATAGTTCCCCCCTCCTGAAGACTTCCTTGGCTTAGAGATAAGTACTAGTAAGTATTATTTCTTTGTTTCTTCAGTTGTAGGCTATTTCTGGGCATACTCCTTTATTACAAAGGACCAGAACATCAGTACCACCCCTGTAACCCAGGACCTGATATTAGAGGGCACCTTAAAAACCCCTGTAACTCAGGCCCCTCTGTAAATAAAAACTTAACAGTTTTTATTTACTTTTTACCACACTTCTACCCACTTTTCACGTGTCACCCACACGTGTACACCTCTGAATTCATCCTTGCACCTAGTGTAGCTAGAAGAGTTTCAGCTCTTGGCATCACTCAGGCTGACAATTGGGGGTCTGGCCGGGAAAAATCCTTATTTTTTTTGATAAAAACCCTGGCCTTATTTTTTATTACAAAATAAATAAAACCAATAAAAAAAAAATCATTTATTTTTTCCACCTTTTTTCGAATTTTTTTTCACTAAAACACCAAACCCATAAAAACATATTATAAATACATAAAAAATTCACAAAAACATATCTTTTAACTAAATACATTTTTTTCTACTTTTTTCCTTTTAGTGGAATTGGAAAAAACCGCTAAACTAATTCAATACTATCTTACTCTCCTTGCGTCCGAAAAAGCACAGCGCGCAGCAGATTATCAACCCTCAGACTGGGAATTACTTACCCCAGACGAACAACGCGCTAGAGCCCTCAAACGCGTAGAGATCAGAGAAGAAGAGAGAATCGCCAACCTGTTGCTCTGGAATTCTGTCAAAAGAGATCATAAAGCCAAACACCGCTTACTTCTAACTGAACTTCGAGATAAAAGACTCGCTAGAAGTAAGCGCTCATCTTTTCCTTTCTCTAAGAATTTATTCTCCTTGAAGAGAAAAAACTAAACCTTTTCTCTTTATACCGCACTTAGTGTCTGCCACCTCCAACTCCAGCGCTGCGACCACCCCAGCCGCCGGCACTACTCCCGTCGCTGAGACTGCTGCTAACAGTCCCAATACCGGTTAGTTTCTTATTCGAAAGAAATCTTTTAACAATCCAGTGCACAAAAACTAACTACATTTAAAATCACAAACCTTTTATCATGTCAACTAGGTCGAACAATCCAGACCTCCACGGCCCCTTACCCCCAGCCACTCGACCGCGGCGCGGCCAATCAGCTGGAGGAACGCGTGAACAGATTGAAACTGATCACCATCCAGAAGAAGATGGCGCCAGTATTGGTCAAGAAACAGACCGAGGCGACGTTGGCCGAGAACGGCTCAACTCCGGCCGTCGAGACTCCAGCCACGGCTCGAATGACTCAAACCGCGGCGAAGACTACCACGAGTTCAGTCGAGAAAGCGCCGGACGCGATGGATATAGATCCTCGAGCGTCGAGCTCCTCGGCGGATATCCAGCAACGCCCCAAATCGCCAGAAGTTCGAATCTTGACGAAAGAAGAGAGAATTCAACTTCTCGTCAAAGAACACATAGTTCTTTGGAAGAAGTTCGAAGCGGATCTACCCTTAGGCGCCAGCGAGGGGAACCGCGCTCTCCTCAATCGAGCTCAAGAGAGTCAAAGAACTCTCCAGAAGTTAATACCTCGAGCGGAGGTAGAAGAGTACGTGAAGGGTTGGAACCCTTGGACCGCGAAGAGGGATCTCTTCCCAGTCCTTCAACAAGAGGGAGGAGGGAAGAAAAGAAGTTCCTCCTCCCGAGCCAACTTCTCTTACAAAGACGCGAAGATGAACGACCCGCGCCGCTGGAAGAAGCTCATGAAAGCTTGCCATACCCTCGAGTCGGGTTACATGAACATGGATTAGATGTAAAAATCCTTACCGCTATATTAGATAGCCTTGATCTTGTAAATAAAAATCTTTCGGCGATTGACAGCAACGCCGAAAGCAACTTTAAATCCATTGTAAATAGCTTTGACCTCAATACCAGGAACAATAAGAAAAGATCAGATGACTTGTCTCTTAAATTTGATAACATGCTTCGCAATCCTCTGTCCATTAACCCTGAAGCTACCAAGCTTATAGCTGAGAATACCGCTAAAAGCCAATTAGCCTGTTCCAAATTAACTACCGCGGTTGATAATTTGAACAATGAATTAACTTCTACAGCGGACTACATATTATCTAAAATGAGAGAAGATGCTCTCCTTGCTAAGAGCGCTAACAATAAAGAGCTAGATATGATTAAAGACCTACTGATTCAACAAAATATAAGATCTGAAGGTATTCAAAATACCTTGAATGAACAAATAGATACTCTTAGAAGAGAAATGAAGAATGAAATTAAAAACAATGTTCATACTTTATCAGAATTAATTAGAGAAGGCTTCTCTAAACACGCTTCTGAAGCTTCAGCCCCTGCCTTTAAGAATAATGAGCCAAGGTTTAATAATCCTTATATGGAAGAGAAACATGTGCGCTATGAGAAAGAAGCTGCCCCTCACTTCCCAACTACTCATGGTAAATCTTCACAAGCATTTCATAAGAATAACCCAGAAAAGTCCCAATCCCTTTACCACTCTATGGATTTAGCCACTTTAAATAAAATGATACCACCATTAAAAGATTGGCCTACCTTTAATGGAAAAGGTGATTATGATCATATCAGCTTTATTAAATATTTAGATCATATACTAAGGACTTATAATGCCCCAGATGAAGTAGTTACAGTCAGACTTCCAGGATTATTTCTAGGAGGTGCCCTAGAATGGTTTATTGAGAAAACTGAATCTCTAGGAGCACAATCTTGGGACACTTGGAAAGAGTTAATTAAAATTAAATATGGTACCAGACTCTGGGAAAAGAAAATGCGTAGACTATTTGAGACAAATTACTTTGACCCTATAAAAGATGACCCTCATGACTGGTGTATTGCCCAAAAGAAGAGAATTGATTGTATTTACACAAATCAAACAAAAATATTGGTCAATGATAAACTTCTCAGCCAATGTAGGGGAAGTATGGAACATGCTGTTAGATGCAGACTCAAAGACATGGATGTAGATATCTCTGAGCTTATTGAAGTTATGGAAGAAGTTGTTGAAATGATGGGTTTGAACAGGAGAAGTAAAATTCCCAATAATAATCCAAAAGATGAGAAGACCAGTGGTAATGCCAATAAGGCTTCAGACAGCTTTGCCAGGATGGATAACTCCCATAAGAGATCTGATCAAGCTCCCAGAAAGACAGACATACCTGAATGTTATAATTGTGGGGAAAAGGGCCATAAAAGACCTGAGTGCCCAAATCCCAGGAAGAAGATCAATAATATTCAAGCAGACCTGGACAGTGACGAAGAAGTTTCTTCCAGGTTTGATATGATCCAAGTAGAACCTGATAACTCTGATTTTCACACCAATCAACGTAGAGAGGATTCTGAATATGACTCTGATTCCAGAATTCAAGTCATTCAAGCTGATATAGGGGATGAGTTGGAAATTAATACCATTCATGGAGATTCTAATTTACCCCAGAAATGGGACTCCTCTATGGAAATTGGCCACATCTCTGATGCCAAGCTTCTTTCAAATAAACCTGAAGCTGGCATGAGTTACACCATGGGTAAGACTAGTTATACTACAGTCATGTTCCAAGGGAAGGAGTGGAAAGCCCTGTTAGACATTGGAGCCTTCTGTTCCTGCACCAGTAGTGATTTTCTTGATTTATGTTACCCTGAATGGAGAAACTACCTTTTACCTGTCCCCAAGGCTAAATTTAGTAGTTGTAATTGCTCCATGAAACCTCTAGGAGTGATTAGCATGCCATTAGTATTTCCTCACTCCAAAGGATCATTAAGGCTTAATGTGGAATTTGTTGTATTACAGGATGCCTTATGTGAATACTTTATTCTGGGAAATGACACCTTTTGCCTGTATGGAATTGATATTTTTCAGAGTAAGAATAGATACTACACCATTGGTGGAGATTGGAAAAGGAAATTCCAAATATGCAATATAAATATTAAAATTCCTGAGCCAATTAACCAAGTATCTTGTCTTACACAAGAAGTCATTAACTTTGATAAAGAATACTTATCACAGGCAGCTGTGAGTGACATTTTGAATAAGGATCAGAAACAGGATGTTCTAAAAATTTGTCATAAATACAAAGAGGCTTTTTGCACCACAGAAGAGCCCATAGGAAATGTGGCAGGACATAATATCAAATTGGAATTGACTTGTCAACCTCCTTATCCTCCTGCTCTTAGAAGAGCCCCTTACCCTTCTAGCCCAAAATCCAGGTTAGCTTTGGAAACCCATATCAAAGAACTTTTGGATTTGAAAGTTATCAGGAAGGTGGGCCACAATGAGCAAGTTGAAATTACCACTCCTGTCATTATTGCTTGGCATAATGATAAGTCCAGGATGGTGGGGGATTTTAGAGCTTTGAATAATTACACAAAAGCTGATAATTACCCCATTCCCAGGATAGATCACTCTCTACATAACCTGTCTAAAGCCAAGTATATTACTACTATGGATGTTCTCAAAGGTTTTCACCAGATACCTATTGAACCAGAAAGTAGGAAATATATGCGCATCATTTGCCATTTGGGTGTATATGAATATTTGAGGATGCCTTTTGGTATTAAAAATGCTCCTTCCCATTTCCAAAGAATGATGGACTCAATATTTGGAAAATTTATCCGCCAGAATTGGATGATGGTGTACATAGATGACATTATTATTTATTCTGATGATTGGGATACTCATTTGGAGAAAATTGGACTTGTTTTGGAAATGGCAGTCTCATCTGGTCTTAAAATGTCTATCAAGAAATGTCATTTTGGATATGGAGAACTCAAAGCTTTAGGCAGAATAGTTTCTGGCTTGACTCTTGCTATTGATCAACATAGAGTAGCAGCAGTATTGCTAAAAGATATGCCTCAGAATATCACTGAAATGCAATCCTTTTTAGGATTTTGTAGTTATTACAGGCAACATATCCCTAGTTTTGCCAGTATTACTCACAGCCTTTATGAAATTTGTAGTAAAAATGTAATATTTGAGATGACCCATTCCCGTGTACAAGATTATGAGAAACTCAAACATTTGATGACTACTGCTCCAGTGTTGGCCCAGCCTGATTACACCAAGCCATTCATTTTATACATAGATGCTTGCTTGGATGGATTGGGGGCTGCCTTACACCAAGAATTCCAGATTGATGACAAACCTGTAGAGAAACCAGTTTTATTTATCTCCAGGCAAATTAAATCCAGTGAAAGGAAATATGGAGCTAGCCAAATGGAGTGCTTAGCTTTGGTGTGGTCTTTGGATAAATTACATTATTATCTAGAAGGCACTAAAGTTGTAGTGGTTACTGATTGCACAGCTGTGAAAACTCTCATGAACATGAAAACCCCCAATAGACATATGCTCAGGTGGCAGATTGCTATCCAACAGTATAGGGGACATATGACAATTGTTCATAAAGCTGGAATCAAGCATAGAAATGCTGATGGACTTAGTAGGTGGGCCTTGCCTAACACTCCTGATAACCCTGCCTGGGATCCAGAGGATGAAGATATTTTTCCTATTTTGGGTATTCATGTGTGTGACTTGGACATTGCCTTCTACAATTTAGTCCAAGACAGCTATAAGGACCATATAGAATTACTTAAACTGGTGGACATATTGAAAAATGAGAACAGCTCACCTGAATTAATTGCCAGTCTTCCCCCAAACCTGGCCAAGCCATATGCTGAAGGGAGATTTACACTTCTGGATGGTTTATTATATTTCAGAAATAGGCATTCTAGTGTTTTAGTACTCTGTGATCAAGCCCAGATAGATAATATCTTGTATGAATGCCATGATAATGTCAACTCTGGTCATTTTTCTGAAGATAGGACAGTAGAAAGAATTAAGCATACTGCTTGGTGGATAGACTGGAGGTCTCAAGTGACTGACTATGTCAAATCTTGTGAAGTTTGTCAGAAGTCAAATAAGCAGACTGGTAAGAGATATGGCTTACTTCAGAAAATTGCTGAACCCACTACTAAATGGGAAATAATTAACATGGACTTTGTGACTGGCCTTCCCCCTGGAGGAGCTTATTCTTATAACTCAGTCCTAGTGGTTGTAGACAGATATGCCAAGAGGGCTAGGTTTATCCCTAATCATAAAGATGACACTGCCATGGAAGTAGCCATGATATTTTGGAATAGGATAATGGCAGATGTGGGTATTCCTAAAATAATAATCAGTGATAGAGACCCCAAATTTACCTCTGAATTTTGGAGAAACCTTCATGATATGTTAGGTACCAAATTAGCCTTTTCCACAGCTTACCACCCCCAAACTGATGGTTTGGCTGAAAGGATGATCCAGACATTAGAGGACATGCTGCGCAGGTTTTGTGCATTTGGCCTTGAGTTTAAAAACCATGATGGATATACTCATGATTGGGTTAGCCTTTTACCTGCTTTGGAAATTGCTTACAACAGCAGCAAGCATTCTTCTTCTAATGAAATACCCTTTGTTCTTGAAAGAGGCTGGATACCTAGGATGCCCAAAGATACCCTGAATGATAAATTGCCCCATATTCATCCTACAGCTCTTGACTTTAAAAAGATGCTAGATGTTACCCATAAACATGCTCAAAAGTGTGTTGAGGAGGCAGTGGAGTATAATAAGAACAGATGGGACAAAAGCCATAAGCAGCCTGATTTTAAAATTGGTGATAAAGTTCTCTTGTCTACCATCAATTTTAATAATTTAGGTGGTAACAAGAAGCTTAAACCATCTTTTGTAGGACCTTTTACTATCAAAGATTTGCATGGAAAGAATGCAGTAGAGGTCATT